GTCGTCCTCCAGAGTAAAAGCATTAATATGGGCTGAAGAAGAGTTTGATTTATCCCACTCTGCCTCTTTGCCGCAAATATTATTCAGTGCTTTATAATTCACACACTTATGAAAATGACCTGGACTGCGGCAGCTCTTAACAACTTAAAAGATGTTTGTTTTGACGCGTTGCTTCGCTGTAGACATCATTCTCACCTCTCTCTCTCTCTCTCTCTCTCTCTCTCTCTCTCTCTCTCTCGCTTGTCTTACTGCACCAGTGGCCTGTTAAAAAACATCCGTAAAGTTTTTACGGTCCAAGGCCAAATCCCGCATTACGGAGAGCAGGAATAGTTTGAGTGACGGAGACCTTTTCTCATAGATGGACAGATCTACAACTCTAAGAGCATTGCACCGTTGTTACCACATAGTTCCTCTCTTCTTACCTTCACCCAGCAGTCCCCCCTCCTTTCTCTCAAGCCTTTTTTTTTTTTATTGTCCTCAGTCTTTTTTTTTAATCTCCATCATCATCTCCTCGTCGGTTTCCCTTCTCTCCTCTTCCCTCCCGACCTTGTCCTCAGTTTCCTCTCGCTCCTCCAGCCTGTGAAAGGGACAGAAACAACATCATACGGACACTTACGGCTCGTTATTTACCTCCGTCTCCTCCTCTTCATCCTCCTTCGGTCCATCTCTTCAGCTGCAGATTAAAGGGGACGATTTGACCGAAAAGCCGTCACACGTTATCGATATCTAACCTCCGTTTAACCCACGTTAAAAACCCTTGAAACTTTAATGTGTGCGTGAGATAATCGGCTGCTCGTATGTGTGTGTCTTTCTACACACTGTTTGTGTGTTTGAATGATTTAAATGTCTTTTTTATAGTTGTGTGGGCCTGTGATACCTGCAGTCCAGCTAAATTATACATTAACACTCCACTAAATAATACATGTGTGTTTGTATACCCAAGTGTGTGAGCATATTTGTGTTTGTGTGTGGTTCAATAATCTGCTGCAGCAGCTGACTAACCTGTATTGACCTGTATTCATGTTTTATTTACCGCGTCCAAATGAGTTATTGCTTTAATTAATCCATCAGCACGTGTCCTCAATTAGAGGGTTACACACACACACACACACACACACACACGTCATTCGTCTGATGAGTCAATTTTAAAATGCTTGTCCTTACCTGAACCATAGACTGTCAGTAAATATCTGCAATTGTAGACGTAGGGAAGTTGAACGTTTACTCTAAGTCTGTTTTTCAAGGTTTTGGTCAATGTCCCTTAATTTCAGCGAGAGAAAATCTCAATACTGCAACATACAACTACATTTGAGAAAATAATGTTCCTCTGTGTTTGTGGAAAGTGTTTGGAGAAGCTCCTCTTCATGTTTAAACCAGACACAGAAGAAAGACTGAAGCCTGATGAGTCGAGGCGGAGCAGCGACTCAAACACAGTCTGTGATAAACACACTGAAAACACAGAACAAAGCTTCCTTCATCCAAGATCCACAAAATACTGTCACATTTGTGGATATTGAGATTTTCAAACTGCGTCTGTGGGATGAAATGAAAGGTGGTAAAGGTTTTTATCTTCCTTCCACACTGCGTGTCGAGAGAAACCTGTAGAGACTCTGAACGCTGCGCTGCTCGCTGAAACCTGCTGCAGCGGCGGAAATGCAAATGTAATGTAAGAGTGTGTTCATGTGGCGGCTCCGCAGGCTGCTGCTTCATTCAGGAGGTTAACATGAGTCATCACACGTCCACTGAGCCTCTGCACGAAGACTCTAATAACAGCGGCCTAATATCCTGGTCTGTGTCAGAAGACGGGATCGTCCGTCCGCTGCATTTATTAGTGATTAAAGATTGAATGTCTCCACGCCGGAGACGTCAGGGCTTCAGGTTGATCCGTCACGTTATCGTGAAAACAACATCTTCAAATCTGGTCCACACGTTCACCCGATATATATGAAGAGCACCTTTCAGTGTCATTACATGTAGAACGACATGACCTTTACAACACCTCGAGAGGGTCTTTTCAAATGTCCAGATTCAGATGGTAAAAGGTCAACGCTGGTCTCACAGAAAACAAGTTTCCTCAAAGATGAACTGATTAGATTTCAGAGGTCAAAGGTCACGGTGACCTCACGATATTGTGAATGCAACGCGTCAGGACCTCCTGCAGCGACGGACACTGCCCTGACTGTTGGAGGCAGATAACCACAGGGCAGTAAATCTAGATTTTTGTGTCTGTCCTAATTGCTGTAGCAAGCTGTACACTTATTTAACGTGAGGGAGCGAATGTCCTCCCGTCAGCTTTAATTCACAACACTCGTCTCTGAGTCGCTGCTGCGTTCAGTGTCGATTTATTTTTAATAACTGACTGAAATGTTGTCCGTCTTCATTTACGTGTTTTTATTGACCATTTAAAGTGCAGCTGTTTCTCATCCCATTCACTTGGTGACATAACTGCCCAGAGGCGTCACCAAGATGGCCGCCGAGTGGCCGGAATAGCCTGTTGGGATATTGTCACAGTGGTCGCGGCGTTATAAAAAACATTTATCTGAGAGACCTCGTGTCCCTCGATCTGTCCCACCGTCTCGTTGCAGTAATATTCAGACAGGAGGATGACATCACTCGTCACAGAGGTCAGCTGACCTTGCTCACCGCCCACTCCGTCCTCATTCACGTAACACAGAGGCCTGTTCAACTGCCTGGATACAAACCATATATTAATCCTGCTGCTCCAGCGACCACTGACGATGGAACACCTCCACCCACCAGCTGCAGCTTTCACTGCGTGTTACACAACTCCAGCTGATTCATGGGTTGTAGATCCAAACGGTCACTTTGATAAAACCTGTGCAAAGATGTTTCACAATGTTCCAAATTCTTCTCGTCTGGGTCTCCGATTGGTCGGGACACTGTTTTTGAAACGCAGCGGCGACGTCGGCGCTGAGCCGAACGACGAGCAAACCGGACCGGGACGTTTCACCGCCTGAGAAGGAGAACGAGGAAGCAGGTCGCTGGAGTTTAGTGGAACCCAGAGATCGAATCGCTCATTAGCATACTGCTGCCATGGCAACAAGAAACCAAACCGGAGCTGGGCGAGGGATTGAGAGAGATGGAGGAAAGGAAGGAGGGAAAAGACAGGAGCAGGGATAGCAGAGAAAAAGGAGAGCAGTGGACGACTAGATGTTGATGTGGAGGTGATGAAGAAGGAAATAAATTACTAGAGCACATAGGGAAGGAAAGAAGGAAGAGTTGAGGAGTAATAGGAAGGAGGGAAAAAGGGAAGGAAGGAGGAGGTAGAGGCAAGAATGAAAAGAGAGGAGAGGTGAAGAAAAAATAAATGAGTTGGTTCAGGTCTGAAGGACAGAAGAAAAGAAGAGGGGATGAGATGAGACCAGGCGAGGAAACAGAGGAGGAAAAGAGACAAAGAGAGGTAAAAGAAAGAAAGAGGATTTGCGACAGGACGCGAAAAAGGAAACATGGAATTAGAGAAGAGGAGGAGGAGAGGAAGAGGAAGTGGTGATGCGTCTTTTTAGAGGTTTTTAGAAAAATTGAAAATGTGATCATCTGCTCCCGATTAGCATGAGATGATTGGATTCTCGTCAACAGAGAGAGATTAGTGCGTAGATTCGTGAAAGAGTTAGCCTGAGCCTGCTAGCATACGACACGAACATTTAAAGTAAATGCATCACTGCCACATTTTACGAGTCTATCGTTATAAAACCGGTCGAGCTCGTGTGTCGTGTGACCCTCATACAGCACGGACTCCAAATGAGGTCTTCAGTGTATTTTCTTTTTTTATTCCAGGATGTGGTCGTTTAGTTTGAGAGCAAAGAAAAAAAATAACCCTTACAAATCAGCGTCTCGTGTTCAGACCATGTGACGGTGGAACCAGGATCAATTACTTATGTATGAAATCAGCCAGCGCTTCTTGTGAAATCTGGAAACCTGTCGCCGCCGCCGCCGCCACCAAATGTTCAGACGAGTGTCGTGAGTGATTGACAGGTGGAGCCGCTGTCCCGAGCAGCTTCTGGCAGTTTGCCTGTTTAAGCTTTTAGCTAAATGTTTGGTTTATGACGGCTGCGTGTCCTTGTGAAGGTGGGCGTGAAAAACTGAGATGGATGTTTATTCACTTCATTTATCTGATGAATATATTCACACACACACACACAAACACACACACACACACTCTAAAGCCTTTTTAGAGTATGAGATGTGAAGGAAGTAAGGGAACAAGGAAGGATGGGGGGAGAGAAAGGAAAGCAACCTTGGCGAGAGAGCACAAGATTGATTTCCCTGTTGACTCTGAGAGAAAAGAAAGAGGGATGAAGGCAGAGGAGAAGAAATGAAGGAATGGGAATACAATGGGGGAAGAAAAGGAGAGAAAAGAAGCTGGTTGTTGGTGACAGACGGCAGCTTGAGGCCTCTGGTGTGGAACCAGCAGCCTCAGTGGACGAGCTCTGATGACAGGAAGTGACCTTTGGTTCAGATTAAACTTCCACCAAATGATCAGTTTCAGGTTCGTTAGGAAGAATAAAGGTTCATAAAATGATTTAATGTTACGTCAGCGTCTGTTTGTGTTTGTTGCTTCATTTCATTTCAATTAAATTCAAACAAATAATGAACATTTTCTTCTCCCCCGACCCTGAATCTGTTTTTATTTTTATGCGCTGGCTGGAGGCTTTATATTTTCAGGTCTTCTCATTCTTGTGAACGTGATATCTCAAGAACACCTTGAATCAATTTCTTCAAATTTGGTACAAACATTCAGTTGGACATGAAGATTAACTGATTAGACTTGAATCCAAAAGGTCAAAGGTCAACACTGTTGTTTCTGATCATGTTTCCTGCAACTTGATCGGTTGTCGGAGATGTACGTGATTCCATTTATGTGTTTTTTATTCTCATCACTACAACGAAACATCTGGATAATAATTCTACAAATTTATTTAAAGAAAAAGACGAGTGTTTACTGACTCTCTCTCTTCTTCTTCTTCTCTTTCTCTCGTCAGTTCGTGGCTCAGCCGAACTGTCAGCAGCTTCTGGCCACGCTGTGGTACGACGGCTTCCCGGGCTGGAGGAGACGACACTGGGTGGTCAAACTGGTCACGTGCTTCATCATCGGTCTCCTGTTTCCTGTCTTCTCACTGGTGAGGGGGAGAGAAAGAGGGAGGGAGGGGGAGAGAAGGAAAGAAAAACTTGGGTTTGAGGGGAAAAACACTGAAAGAAGAAGAAAGCCATAAAAAGATAAATAAGTAGAATTTACTTTTGCCTAAAAAAAACAGACGATGACTATGATTTTGAGAGACATTTAAAACACAAGAAGAAAAAGGAAGGAAGGGAGGGAGGAACGAAGAAAGGAAGCTCAAACTAAATTTGTTGCCAGGCAGCAATTAAGCCAAACTCTTTGTTTATTGGAGGAACTGTTGCTAGGAAACGATAACAGCACTCGACCTGAAAAAACTAAGTGTGAGACGGAGGGAGTGAGGTTATCATTTAGGAAATGACAGCGGAGACATTGGTTTTATTAAAAAAACACTGAAACATAAAGGACACGTTCATGTTTGGCTTCTGTTCGCACCTGAGGGAAAGGAAGGAAGGAATCGTGGAGGTGTGTTTGAAGGAGGGAGGAAACAAGGAGCAAAGGAACACGAGAAGGAAGGAAGGAGATTGTGTGTGTGTGTGAACCTCACCACAATAACAACAACATGTGTGACGGATGAAGCGAAGCGGTGACGACTGACTGAACATGAACATCTTCTCTACGCTCATTTATTTTTTTTCTTCCTGCTTCTCGGTGAAAGACGATTTTTTTATGTAGACGAAAAAAACCCATTATTCATTGCAGGTTACATAATCTGACACGTCTGAGTGTGATATGATCCTCTTCTTCTTCCTCTTTGTTTTTCAAGACGTTGCTTCATCCCTTCATCATCCTTCATTATGTCTCATGCAGCTGCTTTTTAAAGGGAGGTTACTAAAGTTCATTCATGGAGGAATCAGTTCATCTTCATCACTCTCTCGTCACCTTCCACTTTCCCTTCCTCTCTTTAGATTCATCTCGTTTTTTTCCTCTGCATCGTTGACACCCTGTGGCCGGAGGCATAATGTTTCCAGGTTGTCCGTTGTTTTCTGAACATGAGATTTTAAAAACATCTAACGTTCAAGTGAACAAAAAGATGCAGTCATTAGATTTTGATGGTCAATGGTCGAAGGTCACTCGTCTTGTAAACACAATATTTAAGAGCACCCCCGAGGAATCCTTTCAAATTTGGTATGAACGTTCGCCTGGATTCAAGGATGAACTGATTATTTGTTATTGAAAGGTTAAAGGTCAAGGTCCTTTTTGATCTCGCAGCTCAGGAATCACCCTGAGAGATTTTCTTCAAACTGTTAATTGGACTCATTGATCTTAATTTAGATTTCATCGGCTCAAAAGTCACGGTGACCTCATGTGATTGTAAAAGAAAATGTTTGTAGACTCTCTTCTCCTCCTCCTCCTCCTCCTCTTTCTCAGATCTACCTGTTGGCGCCGAAGAGCACTCTGGGAAACTTCATCAAGAAGCCCTTCATCAAGTTCATCTGCCACACAGCGTCCTACCTGACCTTCCTCTTCCTCCTGCTGCTCGCCTCGCAGCACATCGCCCGCACCAACCTCCACATGCAGGGACCCCCACCAACCATCGTGGAGTGGATGATTCTCCCCTGGGTGCTGGGTATGTAGCCGCTCACGTTTCGTCCATTCCGGATGAACGAACACTACGCTGTATATTTTGAATTCTCGTTTAAGTATGTGTATCTATGGTAACCAGCAGGAGCAACATTTCGTCGGCTCAAATGTTCCGATCCACATTGACGGAGAAGAGTTAACTGAAGTGGAGTCAAGAAAAAGTAGAAATAACAACTCAGGAAGATAGAGTGGAGGTCCAGACAGAGAAAATAGATTTAAAATTAATGTATCAAGAGGCCTTTACAGAGGAGTGTGTGTGTGTGTGTGTG